GGGATTGCTAATGATTTTTAAAATTTCACAGCCGCGACACCCGATTCCCGATACGTACCGGCCGATACTACCGATACCGAGACTCCGCGATCGATACCGTTACGTTACCCGATACCATGATTTAGAACTATGCTGTATACAGGCTCAATTTAGGGGCTTTTCTCTTGGTGGTCCAACTTTAGGCTTAAGAATCTCAAATAAATGGTTTGGAAAGTGGTTTTCATTGCAGTTGTTTGGCCTCTTTGGCTTGCTAGGAACAATGCCACTTTCAATAATGTTGATTTTGACTGGAAGGGGGTTTCTGAACTTACAAGCACTTAGATTAAAGCAAAGGTTTCTAATCTTGGAGTTTCTGTTGAGGAGTTCCTTTCCTTTACAATATTAAGGGAGTTATATTTTTGAGTTGTTAGAATTAGGTTGCAACAGGGTTTTTACCTTTTGATATACTCTATGTTGATCTCTTGTCAACGTGTATTAGTTTATTTATTTATTTATTTTTGTTCCTAGTGTTGGGATTTGCATTTGTTTGCTATTTTGCTGATTCCTTACCCCAAATTATTCTACTTTCTTTGTATCTTTTGTATTTTCATAAAAAAAAATAAAAAAGTAAGAATAAGTGGCAAATAGAACACTTTAAATGACTATTCAAGCAAAGAATAAATTATGTTTGAAAAAATGGGGTTAGTTTTGGCTAGTAAGAGTAATTATAACAAAGTCCCTTCAAACAAAACTCTGGTTTTTCTTGATAGTTTGTGGTTTAGATTACTAGTGATTTGTGGTTTTCGAAGGTAGCTTGCTGCTAAAAATTTGGGAAGGTATTCATTTGATTTGTGCTTTTTGAAATTGTTATTCATTCTCAAATTATTCTTCAGAATTATGCTGGACTTTTCTGCGTACCACATGTGATATGATTTATTTTTATATTTTTTATTTGTTATTATTTTTTTTGGAGGGTTTACTTTGAACAACTTCATTATAGATTCTATCTTATAGTGAGGGGGACATGGGGTGGATTTGAGCGTAGATAATAAGTGGAGTCTTTCAAGTCCCTATTGATTGGGGCAAGCCTTATGCTCATTTGACTTTGTTTATGCACTAGTTAAGAATGTTTAATTATTATTTTTTTCAAAAAATTTAAATGAATAGTGACAAATGCAAAATGAGAAAAAGAGAAAAGTTTTGTTTAAACTATACTTGCTGCGGATGCTTAATTGTTGTCATCAGCTTGTCTATTTGTTTAGTTTTGTATGTAAAACAAGAAAAATATCTGTTTAATTATCCTTTATTATTTTGTTTTGATTTGTGGCATGTTTATAATCCAGATGAGGACTATGTAGAAGTGGAAGCAAAACTGCGGGGGCATCTGGAATCTTTCTTAGAAATTGCACAATCCTTCATCATGATTTACACCAAGGTGTGCACTTGCCCCTTCCTTTCATTGGATTGTTTGCAACTTTGTTGTCTCATATGTCTACTCTATTAGAAGCCCCATCAATCAAAGCATACTTCTATTTTTCATGGTTGTGAACATGATCCTCGGCACACTTTTGTAGTGATGTAATGACAAGACAATGTTTTCGGTGGATATAGAAGGAATGCCCATTTATGTTACAGCTCAAACTTTACTACACGTTTTTGAGACAAATTATCAATTCAACATTTCTGCAAGCTTATGCTAATTTTAACATGTACTTGATACTCAAGAATCTTAATTGACATAATAATTTTGTTAAAATTGAGCATATGTGTGTTTGTGTGCGTCCAGGGCATGTTGGGATGCTGGCATCTTTGTTTACAGAAATGTAGGCTTGTTATTGTATGTGTATTTACTGCTAATATATTTTGGATAATTGTTATGCTTTGTTTTCTATAGGAACCTCGTCCTTGGACGAACATGATGGACGTACCACAGCTTCATGGGTTTGGGCCAACTGCTAATTGCTTATTAGAGGCATACAAGATGCTTTTGAATGTAACTTGGTAATAAATTCTTTTCATGTATTCTATTACCTGCTATGCCGTGGTTAGGCCTTTACGGATGAAAATTTTGTTTGAGCTCCTCCGACGCTAGAAGCCAGTTCTTTGGTGTGACATGGCATTTGAAAACACTTTCAAGTACATATTGCCAGTTTTATCTATTTCTTCTCTGTGTATTTATTCTTATCTGTATAGGATCACCAATGGCTCAAACTTTTTCACACTAGACTTAGCATTCATGTAGCCTAAGTGCCCAATTAAGATGGCAAAAATAACACTGATTTAGTAATACGTTATTATGTATAGTTTCACTGTTATTCAAATTCTTTCTAAGTAGTCTGATTTTATGTTCTTCATGTGTTATCTAACTGCTCTTAACTCCATCCTTGTGGGGGTGGCAATTGGTTGGATAGGGTGATTTTCTAGAGTAACAAGTGTTTGTTTGATTCAAAATCAACCTGTTTTAATATAGAGGTCAAAAGTCTAAACCCAAACTTATTTAAAATAATATAAACCCCAATCCTCTTGCTTAACCCATTTCATAGTATTTTATAGTTTAAAACTTCTTTTAATCTAAACATGTGGCTTACTTCTAAATTATAAAATGTCTCAAATACTTTCAAATTTATAAAAATAATTATATTATTAATTAAATATTACTATAATCAATATCCATACCTTTTTCTATCAAAATATCCAACATTTAAAAAAAAATTCACCGATTTTTTAGTAATCTCGTAGACCTCGACCTAACCCTAAGAAGCATGGATATAGTGCCTATATGATGTGATACGGATATACTGACATATTAGCTTCTTGAAAGTCAGGACATATCTGGGACATGATAGCAAATAGACACATTTTTTATTTTATTTTGTATATATATACATGAAAATAATAACAATTTATTAATTCTTTACGTTACAAATATATTTATATTTTATTAGATTAAACTAGTAATCAATTTTCACATTTTATGTGTTGAAAAGAAGTCCTAACAAAAAGTTTAAAAATCTACTTTTAAGCTTCTATTTTCCATACAAATTGAAAGTTTTAGACACTAGTATTTCCAAAATTTGAAGCCTTAAGGAAGTCTCCTAAGGGGCATCCCATTGGCTTAGGCCACATTTCCTTAGTAATGAGACTCAAGTTCGAGTCTCCTTACCTTGCCTAAACCCTAAAAAAAAATAAAATAAAGCCTTTAAGGAAGAGAAACTAATATGGGTAAATCTACTCTTAATAGGCATAAATTAATAGGGAACCACTCCACGGCCTCGAACTAAATTCATTGGTTGTGAAGACATTTTTGACATATCTATTGTCTAGCATTCATTTTAAAAAAATAAATAAATTTAAACATGTACAATCCAAATCTATCTAACCTCTCTAAAAAAAATCAGAACTCTATTGGCTAGCATGGATTTTTTTTTTTAATATAAAGAAATATAAAATACATCCAATCCAATTCTAATAAACTTCAACTCTAACAAATTCCAACTCTAATAAACATCATCAACATTCAATTTTTATACTTGTTTATCATAAAATCAAAGCTTTTATTAATGATAATAAAAAACCGTTGGGTACAAAAGATGCCTGTCTTAGAACTCAGGAACTCCCAAGGTAACCTTGGGACTACTATTGAGAAACACCAAAAACTTTGAGATACAAGCAATGATCCACCCTCTCCATTAACTTAACCCTGACTTTTGTATTACACGAAAAAATTCCAATACACATGACTCTTAAATCATTTGCTTCATAGAACTTGCTTACATTTCTTTTTTTAAGCATCTTTCATGGCATTCTTTACTTGGCAACATGGCATTTAGGGATTTTAATAGTCTTATTTCTTCCTATAACTCATTTAGTTGGATCCATTTGTGTTCCTTGAGTTGGTAATTGATTGCTTTTTTTAAACATATTGCTTATGTGTTTGGCTTGTCTTAGAATCTTCTAGGTTACTGCTTCAAGTAAAAGATGGAGAAATAGGTAGTTGGGTCCCCTCCTTTACCACCACCACCTCACCCTTGCAAGCACCTAAGTGCTGCCACCCATGCCACTAGGCCACAAGGAAGGCCATCGGCTTTCCCCTTTTGTTTGTGTTTCTTATTGTTGCCACATTCGATATCTTTTTGCTAAATGAACTTATGGTGTTGCATGCAGGGGTTGCCTTTTGGTGATGCAGTCATTCTTTCATGGTGGTTTATCCTTGAATATGGGTATAGCTCCATTCTTTTGTCCTTTTACTGTCAGGGATTGCCCTTTTTCCATTTTTAATGCTGCTTACAATTCATTGTGCAGATGTGTCTACAACCATGATATTAACACCTGAACCTGTGATTGATTTTCTTCTGGCCAATCAGAATGCACTGGAACCTCGTAATATTGACTGGACAAAGGTAATTTATTAGTAGTTTGTTCTGTATTTTATTTTTATTATCTGTCTATTGAAATTGTAATTGTTTGGACATGTTTAGGCTAAGAAAATGCTAAAAAATATGAGCGTTAAGACAAGGCACAACAACATGTAATTTAAGATCATAGGCTTAAATTCAGTAACTTTGTAAACTAATTTGACAGTTAATTATTCTTGTTTTATTCTTTTAAAGCAACTTTTCACCCCCATCCGAATAGAATGGTGGGTAGTTGTCAACTTCTCTGCTCATTGTGATACAAGTCATCTTTCCCAAGAACTTATTAACTGTGGAAGGAAAAGGGCATTGTAAATACCCTATATTTGTTTCTGTGATGGGTTTTATTGTTTCAAACAAGTTTTGCTTGATATAATTAATTGTTTTCTTTACAGTCAGAATATTGAACGTCCACATACTCTAGTTGAGGAAGATCCACAATATAAAAGGTCTAGCCCCATAGTACGAGTAGAAAAGATGTTTGAACTGATCGCTGGTAAACTCCCAGGCCACCCTCAGTTTCTGTTATGTGTCTTGCCAGAGAAGAAAAATTCTGATAGTTATGGTAAGATCTCTATATATTTTATTTTTATATTTATTGTATTAAGGAAATTTTACATATAATGTTCTAAATTTTCTTTATGTTGTCAAGGACCGTGGAAGAAGAAAAGTCTGAGTGACTTTGAAATAGCCACTCAATGTATTGCACCTACTAAGTTCAATGATCAGTATCTAACAAATGTCCTTTTAAAGATTAATTCCAAGGTAGTTTGGTAATTAAAGCTCAGAAAAATGTAAGGCTATATTTATTTAGTAATCTTTACTGTGGTATTGGGGATGTCAGTGTGGTTGATGAAAACCCTTTTTTGTTGAAGTGATTCTCAGGGTTGTTTGGGATGTCCTAAATAAATGTACTTTTTGACTTTTTAGACTAAAAAGTTGAGAAAAAAAGATGGTTGTTTGGGACAACTTTTTGATTTTTTACAAAAAAATGTGTCTTAAAAAATTGTAGAAATTAGTGTATAGGAGAAGCTTAGGATAGAATAGGCATTACGGTGGATGTCCTAGCAAGTGGCATGTGCAGAGTAGTGTATAGGAGATGGTTGCCTACTTTTTGGGCATTACATTGGACGGTATTGTTCGGCCCGTGGGGGCCTACCACAGGTCTCATTTTGCTAATCGGAACTGTTCAATGTGTAGAATTTGTCAAGTACTATATGCTTGTAAAAAATTACGTTGATCGGATTTCGATAGCTATCTGATCTGATTAGTTTTTTTGTCAACCGTTAACTATAACACCATACATTTTTTATACAAAACTGATTTGATCATGCAGTTAGCGATATCCGATCAACGTGATTTTTTATGGGCATATAGTACTCGACGATTTCTACACATTGAACGATTCAGATTCTTAAAACGGGACTCGTGATGGGCCCCTATAGGTCGAACAACACCGTCTTGTTTGTTTCTCCATTTGTTCCCTTTGTACAAACGGTGGGCAGCTAAACTACAACTCACATGACATGTGAGTTGTACTTTTTTTTTGTAAAATTAATTTTTTTATATTTTTTTGTGAATAGTGATAACTTTTTAACTTTTTTAGTAACTTTTTGACTTTTTAATTTTTTTGAGGTATGTCAAACCAGCCCTAAATAAGGCTGTTTTGTTCTTTTCTTTCCTTCTTTTTTATCCACAAGCTCTACTTCTATTGCTTTTCCCTGCCTGTATTAAAATCTCATGGCTCAGTTTTTAAACTTGAAACATTAAGAACTCTGTCTCTCTGTCTTTACGGGGAGTCTCTCTTGATAATCTGGAGATTTTGAGAGTTATATTTGGAATCTTTTCTACATATTGTGATAGGTAAAGATGCAAACATCACATGAGCTATATTCAAAATTCTCTTTGGTTTTGTTAAATAGGTTAATTATCTTCTAATAATCAATATGTGTAAAGCTTGGTAATGCATTAACAAACACATATATTCAGTTTGCAAATGTCGTTGGCATATATTATTCACTACAACAAATTTGAGATTTAAAGACGAAACAAATTTGTCCCAAAATATATATATTTCGTCACCCAAACTAATTACGACGAAAATTTTTCGTCACCCGTTTTGTCGCCAAAGCCTCGTTGCTAAAGGGTCGTAGAGACGAAAAAACAATTTCGTCATTGAAAATGATAAATTTGTGACGAATTTTTTTGTCTCCAATACGCTCTGTTGGGAACATACTTGTAAGTAATTAGCGACAAAATATTTTGTCATTAAAGGAAGAAATTAGAGACAAAAATATTTTGTCATAAATATAAGAAATAGAGATGAAATAATTTTGTCACGTTTAATATAAACGAAGACGAAATTTTTTTGTCAAAAAAGCTACCAATAGAGACAAAAACAAATTCATCATTAAAAATGATAAAATAATGTCAAAAAAAATTCGTCACACATTGAGGATATTAGTGACAAAATGTGACAATATTTTTTGTCACGACAAATGCATTTAGTGACAAAATAAAAAATTCATGACAAAATTAATCATCCACCTAAGCGAAATAAGAGACAAAAGAATCTTCTTTAGGGATGGAAAATTTTGTCAATAATTTCATAATATTTTTTTCCATATTATATACCTATTTTATCAAAATCTAAATTTTAGTTCAACAAATATAACCCTGTTCATGTTGAAACCTGGTGAATATAACAATTCCATCACAACTTAACCTAACCTGTTATCAACACATTTACGAATTAACAAAATGAAAATATCCATTCATCATCATAAATAATTTCATCCTAATACAATAAAATAGTGAAATATCCACAAAATATCCAAAAGTTATAACTTGTTCAATTTTACCAAAAATCCAACAATAACTAGTGCAACTCCACAAAGTATGTGTATCCT